GATAAAGTAGTTCGCGTTGTATTCTCTACTCATGAAAAATTGGACATAAAACAATCTAATGAGACAACGAAAAAAAGTGTTTTGAAATCAATTGAAGGTATCAGAGGTCATATGGGATTGATATATATATATATATATTAAATATTCTAAATGAGATTTCAAATAAGGTGTTAGATAGAAGTAGCATCTCATTCTTATATATACCATACTAACGTGCATCTGAAATTCCCAAAGTTAAAAGGGGAGAAAAGTGCAATACCTCTCTTGTATCTTGCAAGCATAGGAGATCCAACCTTTCATGAGGACGCAGGTTTGATAAAGAAGCAAGCTGCATCCAATCATACATTAATAACGGCAATCACAGCCCAGAATATACTCAATTTTAATAAAGAGAAATATAAAGTTACCTAGAAGCAGAAACGCTCGTAAAGGCATCATCGCTTCCACGCCGAGAAGTCTCTGAAGTCGTCTTCGATTTGTAAAGAAACATTATCATACATCAAAAGGGCACATAGGTATACTGAACACAAGAATAGGGAAGAAACCATTCTTATGTACACTGACATTACATATAGACTGAATTTGAATGGCTTGAATAAAGACAAATTGTCACAAGTAAATAAGATATGTTGATCTAGAGATAAATATCCTCCCCAAATGTTCCAAGCAGAAGCTTCCTAAAGATGAAATCTGAATATGACAGACATTTCAGTGGAACAAAGGGTTTAACCTAATAAAATTAATCTTTCATTTCCAACGATTACAACTGACCACCAAAATGAAACATGCAATCTCAGTCTGGCAGTAATATTCACCCAAAATAATGGAAAATCTTATTCAGGATACTCTGAATGGTCATCCAAATACCTATTATAGAGGATTGAGAAATTTAACTTATGGAGATAACCCATTAAAAAAAACAACAAAGAAGGTAAATTCCGAGTTCATTCAATTGATGTCATTCCTGAGCAGTTTACATTGACGTGCTGCTCTTTTACCCCGCCCTATCCACAACCGAGCGTACTCTGCTGCATTATGTGTCAATTCTCGCAACTGGACAGAAATAGAAGTTAAACCATATAGGCGCAACCACTATAAGGGGGAAAAACATGGAAGAACTCTGTCCTGCATCTTCCTACAGTGATGCATGTTACACTTCAGGCTATTAAGACATTAGCTACAGGGCCTTATAGCAAACCAAATTGTCATGAACTTACGTCTGCTCTCTCTCTAGACCCTTCTGGTGGATATATGTCATGTACCCCATATGGTACCTGAGGAGCAGATCAAAAGACAAATATATTGAACAAGAGCAGTAATTATAGATCAAATGAATGGCTAGACATCTCATAAGACCACTCACCCATCTTGGTCCCAAGATCGAATTATATGAAACCGTTGGCGACTTTCAATATGATGAAATAGTATTATTATAACTGTGAATGAATCATAAAAAAAAAATCATAACTTCAAACAAAATGCATTATGACATGGAAATATTTATCATAGATAAGCCTATTAGTTAATTTGCAACCTCGGATGTATAAATAAAGACCAAAAATAAAGGATAATTGTTCATTAAATGAAAAGTAGATCAATTTTAGCATTCATAATGCATTAAAACAATGTAAACAGAGCGCAAAAGTACAGATTGAAGTAAAAGGCACTTGTATCTAACCTCTAAATAGAAACGTCCATCTGGGAGTGGTTCACACCTACATAAATAATAATTTTTTTCTTTAAAAGGAGGAAGCATGGTAGTGGAGTTTACAAATGACATTCTGCATACTAGAAAATTAAGAAGGAAAGGAGGAGGATGAAAGACCTACTTGGTAATTCCCACTTCACAAGAAAAATCAGCTATTGAACCTGTCGAAGAATCAATGATAACTTACAAAATTAAAAAAACAAGCAACAATCAGTGAAACTTATACTCTGGGTCAAACTTTATATGCCTTAAGAAAGTTAAAAGGGATAGAAAGGGACCAGTGACTGTAATCTACAATTCCCATCCGACAGTTGCCTTCCATTATCGTCCTTACCCGTTGTTTAAGTGACAAGGTACAAGCAAAAATCTATGAATATTCAATAAAAACAACAAAACACATGGATCACATGGACTGTAGAAAAGTACCAAGTAGGCATACAAAACTTGCTAGATAAGTTTGTCAACATAGTTATTTTGCAGCAAATGCACTTCTACGTTCAGATATTTTATGAACGTCATATGTGAAAAATATAAACTTCTAACCAACTTACCATAAGTCTATACCGAGGTTAAAAAACATGTAGCGAAAACTTCTGAAACAGGAAGACACCATCCGTTACAAAGAGTGGCATCAAATCAACACCAAAGTTTGTCATTGCATCATTCTCCAACTTCATTTCGGCAAATTCCTCTTGGAAATTCTTCTGTATAATGCCGTTAAGTGTCACACTGGCAAAAACAAAAAGAAGATTTTGAAGGTAGACCACAGAACTGAAGCAAACAATCTTGGTAAACTCTGAAAGCTATAACACTAATTAAGCACAAAAAATTAGCAAGCACATATCATGCTGACAAACCTAAAATATATGCCTAGCATTGAATGCATGATGGAAATAAAAGTTTGAATGGCCCCACCAAAATGATTTCCTAAATTCATATTTATAGATTAGTAATTTCATATTACTTGGATTTTTTTATTTCCAAAATCTAGAACCACACATCCACTAATTGTTATACTCTGTAAAAGGGAGAATGCCATACTCAATCTATAATAGGTGGAACTCCTGGGGGATGTGCAACCATGCCCATTACAAACAGCATAGGTATAGAAAACCATAAAGCAATAATTCTGATGTCAAATAATACAAGCATCTCATTCAATTATTATAAGCATATGTTCTTGGACTAATGAAAAGAATTGTTCGGCACAAAGGACAAACTCAATTAAATAGAATCAGTAACAGCAAAACACTCACCTCGATAACCAAGGTCGTTGGTGTGAGTGGTTCGGCACTCTCATTCCTTAAGAGAAGGTCAGGGGTTCGATCCCTGCTCTCGTATGGAGTCACCACTTTGGCCAGCACTTTACCCCTTACGGGCCGACCCGGTGTGAGCGGGGATTAGTCTGGGTTGTGGTTAAGGCTTAAAGGTGCCACCCATAGTTGGGGCCCATCCAGGACCACCTCGTGGTTCAAACCAAAAAAAAAAAAAAACACTCACCTCGATCCATTGACTGAAATAAGCATGAAATGCCCACAAGGAGTTGTGACAGGTTCATATGGTAATTTCAAGCATAGTGTGCAATCAAAGTCATCACTGCGTTCTGATTTTCTATGGCTTCTCCTTCCTGTGAAATTAGCTTGTATTCTCTCTAAATTCTGAAGAGGATTGCTACAGAATACCACACAACAAATAAAATAATATAACATTTTAGAAATTCACAAACCGAATATCATAGCCAGCTGGTATTAAACAATATATACTTAATATCTATGTTTTGTTAAATACTCCAGTAAACAAATTACTCAATTTCTTCCTGGTTTCCCGACATTTTCTCAGCAACCAAACAAGAGAAACCACACTCACCGAAATGTAGTCGTCCACGTCACCAGGCACGTCTGTGTCGAACCCCGAGGACGAAGGCTTTGCCTCCATTGAGAGAGCCCAACCAATCGAATCAACGCAGCAGAAGAAACCGAAGAAAAAAAATTGAAGCTTGAGTTGAGAGAGAGCCTCAAGACCGAGTTTTTTAGCTTGGAAGCGCTGGCTGTGACCGCGAGTGCAAGCTTCGTGTTCGTTTCTCTGTCCCTTCATTTCACTTGCCGACAACATCCTCTGCGAGTTTCGTGTTGGTTCGGAATATATTTAAAGCGTATAGCCGACCGGCTATACTGTTAAAATATTCGGAAATATTAAAAGAGTCTAGCCGACCGGCTATACCGTTAAAATATTCGAATATAAAGTATAGCCGAGCGGCTATACCATTAAAATATTCGAATATGCTTCAAGCGTATAGCAGCGCGGCTATACTGCCAAAACATTCTAATATACTTCAAAAGTATCGCCGTGCGGCTATACCGCTGAAATACTCGAATATACTTAGAGTGTATAGCCGCTCGGCTATACCGTTATACTCGAATATACTTAGAGAGTATAGCCGGACGGTAATACCGTTAAAATATGAGTATAGCCGATCGGCTATATCGTAAAAACTATTCGAATATACTTAATAAGTATAGCCCGCTATACCGGTAAAATATTCAAATATACTTCAAGCGTATAGCCGCGCGGCTATCCGTCAAGATATTCGAAGAGTATAGCCGATCGGCTATACCATTAAAATATTCGAATATGCTCACAGCGTATAGCCGTGCGGCTATACTCTTTAAGTATATTCGAATATCTTGAAAGTATAGCCGTTCGGCTAAACTCTTCAAATATTTCTCCAACAATATTCGAATATTTGAACAGTAAGGGGCAAAACGTCTCTATCTGTCTGTCTCTGGTGTTTCTCTTTAAACGTCAAACAAGAAGCAGCAAAGTCATAGCCCTCCGCCTGCTGTGAGTCTGTGACTGTTGGCTTGGATTTATTGAACTTGTTTGAAATTGAAACCAACCATGACAAAAGTGAAAGGACATATACATAGAACAGAGAGTAGAGGGAAGCCTCAGCTGTGCAAATTGCACGCGAAGAAAAGAAGAATGGAATTGGAGAGAAGGTCCACGCCATCTTTCTTTGATCTCTTCTCTGCACTCCTAAAACTAATACCAGTTTTTTTATGTCCCCACTTTGACCAGACAACACACCATGCTGCTGCAGATGGAAAGAATTAAATGGTTCCATTTGTCTCCTCCTCTAACTTGTAAGTAGTTGTTCATGGGATGGGATCGATTACCTCTTTCCTCCATCAGCAACAAAAGGGTATATGCACTGCAGCCTTTGCTTTCACTTCCAAGAATGATGCATCCCTTGAAGCAAGTAACTAATTAATTAAAAGGCTAAAAACTAGTTGAAGGTGTCTTCCCCTTCATTCCAGAACTGGAATAAACAATTATGTACGCTTCTTTTGACATCACTAAGCCATAAGGATGATGCATATCTACACTACAAGCTTCCAAAATAAGGTGTACAAAATTTCAACCAAAATTTTCTTTGAATCTGTTGAAGAAGATTCCATTGGCCCATACTATTACCTCCTCCTCAATATCAAACTCATTCACATAGTCTAAAGTAGTGTCCACCCTACAGTGCTATTCCACTTGTACAGTCAAAATATTTAAATAAATAAAAAAGTTTATAGGCATGTAGTTGCAGAGCAGAAGATGTAAGGATTTTCTATGTGACTTTATTAGACAGTAACATTAGGCTTCTAGTACTAAAAAGAAATCAATAAGCATGGGTGAGCAATGCCAATGCGCCTCCTGCTAGAAACCTTTGTAAATATAGGAACCAAATGAAAAAGATACCGCACAAATTTTGCATTACCTTAATAATGACCAGATGATGACCTGGAAGGTTTACACCCCATGCCAATGTGCTGGTACAAACCAATACCTATAATTTAATACATATGCCTGATCAGTATATAGAGTTAGAAAATGATCTTTTTTATGTTCTCTTTTCCTAATGTGTTTTTCAGGAAAGACTCATGTTGTTTGCAAAAAGCTCCTCAACCAGAGATCTATCTTCCTCATTCAGACCGGCATGGTGTAATCCAATGCCAAACGGCAAGGTGTGCCTCAGGTTAAAGAACCATCTGCTGGCCTTCTTCTGGCATATTAAGAAACTGTCTTGGATGTTCATCTAAGGTTGCGAACTTCAATAACAGAAAAGCACAACAACAAAAAAGAATCAACGCAGCAGCCGAAACCGAAGAAAAAATATCGAAGCTTGAGTTGAGAGAGAGGCTCAAGACCGAGTATTTCAATTTTGTAGATTGGACTGCGAGTGCATGCTTCGTCTTCGTTTCTCTGTCTCTTCATATCACTCACGCACCACATTCCTCTGCGAGTGCAAGCTTCGTTTGTCTTCATTTGTAAAAAAAAGGACACGACCCGCCCAGGCCGCCTAGGCGCCGCCTAGATCCGCCCAGGCCGCCTAGATCCGCCCAGGCCTCCTAGGCGCCGCCTAGATCCACCCAGGCCTCCTAGGCGCCGCCTAGATTTCCCCAGGCCGCCTAGATCCTCCCAGGCCGCCTAGGCGCCGCCTAACTCCTTAGCGTCAGTGTCCTCCCGCCTAGCGCCTAAGCCCATTTTTCGAAACTGCTCGAAACCTGGAACGGGCTTCCTCTGTGCCGTAGACGTTCGTAGTGACGAGTTCGAGTCCTCTATAGCCAATCAACTGATGGTTTTGGTGACGAGTTCTGTGCTCTGTGCCCGTGCGGCTATACTCTGTGAACATTCAAATTTACTGAAAGCGTATAGCCGGGCGGCTATACGTTTTAAATATTTTAATACGTGTAAATAGTCCAGCCGAACGGCTATACTGTTAAAATATTCGGATATATCTAGCCATATACTCTTTAAGCAGATTTATTTATCGAGTATAGCCGATACTATTTAAAATTCAAAACTATATCATTTTCTTTTTTAAAATATAAAATTAGTTTCTTTAGGTTAATAAATAGTTTTTTTAGTGGGTAATTAATATTAATTATTTAAATTAACTCCATAAATTATATTACTTAATAAATAGTAATTAACTATATGATGAGTAATGTTTAATGGGGAATGCTAGCAACCTTCTCTCCAACCTTCTCTTTTGGACATTCTCTCTTTTCTTTATGACATGTGTCCATTTCCTTACATTCAAAACAATGTAATTAATGCATCAAACAAGCCATCATTAGTTTTTCAATTTTACCATTATTAAATATATTGATTTGACTGTTTTCTTTAATTTATCCATTTTTTTTTACAAACTTCTTACCACCTTGTTAAAAATTAATTTAAAAAAAACGTTTTTTTCAAAGACTCTAAAGGCAATGAGACATTCAAATAAGACTTAAAAATTAAATAAGAAAAAACGTTAGTTTTATTTTTTGTTGCCTGAAAGATTCCAAAGGGAGTAAGGAGAGACATTGGTTTAAATCTAAAATTTGGTATGCCAGAATTTTGGGGATTTTTTTTTCTTCAAATAATCAAACTCCAAAGGCAGCAAGGGATATAATAACTATAAATAAAACTATGAACTTCCTATGGAATCTGATTATTTGGGGTTTTATTGATATATATTTTTAGTGTCATTGAAAATGCTCTTTAACTTTATTTAGTAGTATAAAAAAATGCAATTAATGAACTTCCTTTTGAAGGAAGTATTTTTTCTGTATAAAAATGTGTATAAAAATGTTATCTTTCTATTGAGTGTTTTTTTAGGTCATTCTTTTGTGTTTAAAAAAAATAGAAGTTTTATCTCTGAAAAAAAATAGACATTTTCTTTTTTTAAAACAGACATTTTTTATTATTTAATTTTTTACATATGGTAAGAGAGTTGTAAAATTGTTTTTGAACAAATTGAAGGACAACATTTAATAAGGGTAAACTTGGAAAACAAATGTTAGCTTGTTTGATGCATTAGTTACATTGTTTCAAGTGAAGGAAAGACACATGTCATGAGGAAAAGGGAGAAGGTCCAAAGGAGAAGGTTGCTAGCATTTCCCATGTTTAAAATTCAAATCGAATTTGAAGCCTAATTGGCTTCTACTTGGCCCAACTTCCATTTACTAATTATAGGACTACTACACTTATAAAGACTTCACTTTTTCATCTTTCTACCAATATGGGACAAAAATCCTTGAATTTCATTCAAACTTTAAACAAGTAGAACTATAAAGCATTAGCTATGATCCTTCTTGAACAAATAAGCAGTTTATCATTAACACCTACAGGTCCCTTAGTGTTGCTTGGCTGCAGGTCCCTAAAGCCAATCAACTACCACTCCCCTATCTTCTTTTGCAGTAATAAGACTCATGTAGTTGTGTTTTTTTTTTTTTTTTTTTTTTTGGGGGGTTTTTTAGCAATGTTATGTGCGTGGCAAGAGATTTTCTTTTACCTTTATCCCTTTATATATACAAATAGAGATAAGATGCCTAGTATCACAAAGTCATATTGGGTATAATAGTGAATCTCCCTTAAAACAATTGTTTGGTCTGTATTAAATTACATTCGGGTACATGCAAATGTGTAGTGAGTACAAGCACGCAATGCAGCTATGCAAATGGTTTCATCTTTAGTTCCTTTTTTTGAATATAAGGGATAGTCTAAATTGCAAGGGGGAGAGAAGTTTCTCTCACACACGCATACACTGCCAATGTGCTATGTGAATTCGAACCTGAGACCACTAGTCTGCAAGTCAAGGCCCTTTTCTACTAAACTACACCCCCTTTCATCTTTAGTTTTTACCACATAAGAAAAAAAATAAGTTACAACATGCAAGTTATGATGTGATTTACAAACCCACTCCCTTACACTTTCTCCCCATAATTATTAATAACAATTATAATTAATGGAAGAAGCAAGAAATTTAGCACCAAAGTTCTCGATCTTTGTCCAAGTATCTGCCTCCTCCTACAGGTCTGGTACCATTCATATCAAGAGTCCATTTCTCAAACGTACACCTCAAGAAATCATAATATCCTCCATGAAGAGAGAGCATCTCTTTCTTTGCTCTGTCTTCTATCCATGGGTATGTCCGTAAATTCAATAATGAACTATTGATTGATTCCTGTAATAGAATGAAATTTTTTATAATACCCCAAGGATGACCACATTTAAAGACTTGCTCTATATCTTTTTTTATCAAATCCAAAACCAATTGGTAACGAGTGGAAATTGCATGAATCTTTTAATATTCTTAGGCAATACTTTTAATTCCCCGTCGTGGGATTCACACTCTCAATAGAATCTGTTCTGTTTAATCTCCATTAGTTAGAAACAATCTATTGGCCGCATTTTAGGAGACGTTTAAAACCTTTCTTTTAGAAATTAATCACAAGTAAATAAGCCTAAGAAGAGTATCAAGTGGAAAGGACTCAAGGAGTACCTTCTCACAGTGTCTGCATTGCTGATCAAAGCTAAGGTGTGGTGCAACAGCTTTTGTTCTTAGTTTGGCAACTTTGGCATTGATAACCCAACTATGAGTTAAGCTACTGAAAGCAGAATCACAGAAAGAAAAATTTTTTGCAGCATTTAAAGAAAATTGATGTTCGGAAAATACCATGTGAACAAAAGTGAGAAAGGATCAATTGTTAAGAAACCTTGAATCACCATCATCTTGCATTCTCATGAGGGTCTCAATTCCTGCACAGCTACTGTGGCCAATGACTAATATATTCTTAACCTGAAGTCGGCCATGAACATTTTGATCAATTTTCAAGGTCGCTAGCTCCAGAACCCCGAATTTGGAGATGGATTCCGATTTTAAGCAAAAGGCAGTTAAGTTATACATAAACACACAGGTTGAAAGAGATTCAAGAGTAAGATGACATACTTCAAGAGTATTTACTGCAAACTCAAGGGCAGCATTAGTTTCTGATGCTCCATTCTGCAAAAGACAAAGGTTGATTTGCAGGATTTGATAGTTTATATTTGAGAATTGAAAGAGCAGAAATTGTAGAATACAGATGAGCCAAATATATACCTCAAATGGGGGAACAAGGTTTGCTACATTTCTAATCATGAATGCTTCTCCAGGTTGAAAGCCTAGGATGTTAGAGGGACATACCCTAGAGTCTGCACAAGCAATCACCATGAACTGTTTTTGAACTTGTAAGTTTATTTATATGGAACTGTCCAATTTCAAGCTGAACAGAAGCAAGAAGTATTAAAAACAAGATGAAAATTAAATTTGTATAATTACCTTGGGTGCTTGAGCTTGAGCTAGAGTTTGGAAATGCTCTGACTCTTTCCTGTTCAATATAGTATAATTACCATACAGACCAATATGCAATCAAGTTGTGTGTAACATTTAACTGCTACTTACAAAAATTTGTGCTTCTTAAAACTCAGAAACCTCTCTTTCATCTCACCAAACAAGTCAGGCCCATTATTAGCTTTTGACACATTTTCTCCTTCACAATTTGAACATTCATGGGCAAGTTCCATGGAATCATTTGAAGCCTCCAGCCTTCTAACTGGGTGTCTTCTGCAAAAAGACAGCCGGTCATAGCAGTTATGGTGGAGCTCTTAGTGGTATCATCATATATCTATAATATTAAAATTCAAGAGTTTCCCTAGTCATGAATTTCTGTTTTCTTTTTTGGGTGAAAATGAATTTCCTCTTTTCCATAAAGACAGATTAAATCATATTTCTTGTGATCCAGAGATTCAAACATGGAACTAAAATAATAGAGATTGTGGGTAAAAAAACAAATTAATGTAACATTTCAAGCACAATAATTCATATCAAAGAGCAATGATTGGAAGATATACTTACTTGACTGAAGGCAGTAATTCTACATGGGTTCCTTGTTCAACTTCTGCAGAATTTGTCTAGGAATTTTCACATATTAAAAAAACAAAATCTGGGTATCAGTGAGGCAACCGATTTGATAATATATATATATATATATATTATTGAGAGCTTGAAACAATTACCAGGTTTGAGGCAGAGGATTTTCTTCTGTAATTGCTACAGGTTGAGGAAGGTCTCAGAGCTGCCATTGTTGAAAGAATCCGACGAGCTTTTGAGCCTGCAATTGTGAAAACAAACAAAGATTCATGAGTTTAATGATATACAGGTAAGTTGGTTGGTTGGTTTCTGATAATTCTTACGGATTGGGAAGACCATCTCTGTTCGTTCCCGCCTTCACATGCGGTCGGTCCAAAAGGATGAGGTTTAAGTTCAAGAAATAATTTTTTATTTTTTATTATTATAATGAAACGTGAATACAATACAGAAAAAGGCTTGAATGAATCTTATCCAATCCCGACCCATAGTCATCCAGAGTTTGTAAAGTGACGTGGATATGCCTACTTGGAACTACATGATTTTGAATGGGAAAAATAAATTTAGAATCTGAAAAAGAAAATTCTGAATTTTTAAATTGACATACACCAATAATCTTATTTGATTTCATTTATTAAAAAAAAAAATTGAGAAATTCCACCAGGAAAAAAAAAAAAAAACCCTTGGCATTGGGTGATCATAAAGTTCAACTTTAAATTCCATCTCAATAATTATCGTTTATAAAATATCAACAGAGTGAGAAATTTAAGAACAAAAAAAGTGACTTGCCACCACCACCACCACCACATTACCATGACAATCACCATCAACTTGAAATTGTGATGAACCACTCTCATATCACCACATCTCTACTACCTTGTCATGACCATAAATCGTCATCTCTATTACAACTTCATGTTTCTAAAATTGAATCATGATAACATTAAGTAATTATTAACGAGAGCTTTAACTAATATATCAATTAAGATAAAAGAACGCTTCTCTTTTTCATCAATTAAGACGAGATAAAAACGTATTCCAGTATCTCCAATACCGTTTGTATAAAAATTTAATATTTTTTTTTAAAAGAAGACAAGAGATAAGAGTAGAATTTGAGCTAGACAAATTCCAGGTCAAATTTGTAAACCCAAATTGGATGTGATAATGTTTTATTTTTATTTTTTACCCTCATCTTAATTAGTTAGTAAAAAAAGCAGCCATAGCTTCAATCATATATTACAATTTAAAATTTAAACTAAACATAAGAGGTTATTGTTTGATTGTTTCATCTGCTTCTTTTTTTCCTCTATGATATATCCTACTGATTTTATTCCATGGAATCCAGGATCCAGGTTTCTGTACACCAACCCAAAATATGAGTTTCCCTTTTTGCCCTCACTACTTCCTTAATATTCATTCTCATCCTCATAAACCCGAGCTCGCTTACTCCCCAAAACCAACCGACCCGGCCCAGAACTCGAGGCCCGATTCTCCACCACAGCCTTCAAAGCCCGTTTCAAAGCCCTAACCTCCTCCTCCCCACCACCGCCGGCCCATTGCATCACAACCACATTCTTCGTCCGCCCCCCCACAGCC